TCCGGCTCTATCTCAGGTACTTAGAGGGGTTTGCATCAGCTCCTGATTTTTCAAGAGAGACCTCTCAGAGTGGAATGACAATGGACTTTCAATGGCTTATAATTATGCCACTTCCCTGCACAATATCCTGGGCATCATTTGCATTAAGACTGATATGAAGTGTGAGTGCACAGTATGCTGCTCCGCGCAGGCCTTTTGATCAGCTCCACCGCTGAAATTACAGAGTGCCGTGACATTTCCTGGAATGCCTGTGAGCCTCCGTCCTCCAACGGTTATCTGAATCTGTTAATTAGATGGATCAAGTCCAAAGTTTGTGGCTGTGCGAGGTGACACGTGTGTGTGTGTGTAGCGTGTGTGGTTGCGAGCGAGGATCACAAAGTGTGCTGAGAGGCACCTTGGATTGGTGGCATGAAAAACGGCGTCCTTTTTTTCCCAAGGTTATCCCAACACTGCGTCTTGTTTGCTTTTTTAAAACATTCCTCTGAAGATAGAAAATGATGCTGGATGTTTGTGTTGCTGCTGACGCTAAAAGGCTAAATGTAATACTGCCATCTAGAGGACATAAGGCAGTATGGCAGGTATGGATCACAGACACATAATGGGGTTTTTGCTGTACATCATTACCTGAAATGCTGTTTTTTTTAAGTATTATGATTGTTGTCCCTGAGAAAATAAATGTAAATGAAGCTGTCATTTTGCAACCATCCATCGGGCAAATATTTTAAAAATACAGGAATTCAGTGAGAAAATGTCTTCAAAGTAATCATCCATTAAGTTTTAATCACCTACCTGTTCCGCTGAAACAATCATAATCTTAATAATAGTGTTTGTGCCTTCAACCTTTGCCTACACAGAGCTAAATATGTTCCTGTCTTTTGAGTTGTAATTAGAGCTGGACCGCGTTTTCCTTTCAGATGGCTCTTAATTCTGGGATTTGTTGCTCACAAAAGCCACTCTCACATCCCTTCCTCTCTGCGGATTTTTTCGAGGCAGTGGGCGTCTCTTATTCAGCTTCGAGAGGTTGCCGAAAATAAATCATCACCCTCCCACCAGCATGCGAGAAAGTCCAGATGGTTGAATTTTCACTGACGTCCTCCCGCTGAATTTCCCCATTGTCTTCCACTCTAAAATTAGAAGGTAATACTCGGTGAAAACGCCGCGTCTGCTCTGAGGGTGCTAGTTAATTATCAGGAACTGGATTTATGTTCCACCCACAAATGAACCATCAGCGCTGTATGTGTGAGAGTGTAAAGAAAAAAAAACCTGAAACTTGAAACCCCCTTGAGGATTGCTGATGGGAACAAATGACAGGTTTCGCTGTCAAACAGTCTTCCCTGCTTGTTCCTATGGGAGGAACAAACGAGAAAATGCCTCCAAGGTAATTTAGCAGCTGAAGGAAGAAGAAGACATTTTTCTCCCACAGCTTCCACAATTATTAAGGAGCAAAATCCTGCTTGCATGCACATTTAATATCTCTAAATGTAAACTTAACCGAGCTGCTTATGCAGTAGCTAAACATGCCTTTTTACTCTAAATGCATACCAACACAACTACTAATCTCTCCTGCAGCTTATATACGGCTTTTTAAAAACATAACCTAAAGTGACAGCTGATTCGGTCTTCTTAATGCAATCAGCAAGATTATAGCCTTTAACATAATCAATTACTTAATCTACTGTTTGTAAGCAGGCAGATGGAAGGAAATGACCATTCAGTTTTCTTTTTTGCAGCATTCAACAATTGACTGTTTTATCTTCAAATGCAGCGACAGCTTAAATTCAATAGGGAGTAAATCCAATGTTATGAGGCTGGGATTAACCATCTGCATGATTTGGCATTTTCTTTTTTTTCTCCTTTTCATTTTTGCATGCTATAAAGTGCTTTCCAGGCCAAAATTAAGGGTTTAAGATTTTGTTTTGGGGACCTTTAATTGTGTTATTTTTTTATTTCCCGGAGTTCTTTTTGTCGATTCTTCTTAAAAGTAAACTGGTTAGATTATTACGGGGAGAGGAGCGTACATGGGAAATGAAAAATGTCAGCGTTTTCTGAGGGAGCTCAAAATAAATCAATCAGTATGTGGATACAATTTTTCTCAGATTTTGAAAACAATGACATTACTCTTCTTAGGGCATGACGTGATAGATCAACTGATCAACACTTCCTTTAAAGCTGATTGAAATTCTGCTGTTAATTAATAACAATGGCAGTAAATACAAAAAAAGTAGTGTGTAATCTAAGTTTTGAACTCAAGGTCTCTGGAGCTTTTAACTGTAATGTATGTCGTGGCCTTCCTTCATGAGGACACCAAGAACATATTTTGAGAAAATGCAACGATTGAAATAGAGATTGTAAATGAGAAATTGTGATATCTGAGCAAACTCCATCCATTGACCGAGACCACGGGATGTGCAGGGGTGATTCTAGGGTCTGTTGGGGCCCTAGGCAAAGTTTCACTGGGGACCCCTTCCAAGAATTTTCCTCTTTCTTTTTTCATTTTCCTTCATTGACAAATTTTGGTTTTCACAGGAATCATGCTGTGACGCTTTGCAAGGCATCTGACAGCACCCCCTACTGTCGTTGTAAAATTTTCACAACTTGAGGCAATGCTTTGGTTTCAAAGTTTGTCAGCCGTTGGGCCCCCCCCCCCCCCCACTGGCCTGGGGCTCCAAGCAGTTGCCTCCCTTGCCTGTTGACAAGCAGCTCCTCTGGGGATGTGGTTGAAGGCTCAGGATTTATTTTATTTTTTGTCATGTGTACCTCGGATAATGCCGATTCAGTCTTCAGTAATCAGCTCTCACACTGGGGGGGAGTTCCTCAAGGTTGCGTCCTCTCACCTTTGTTTTTTCTTCTTTGTTCAATACCAATCACTGTATTAGTCATCTGGATTATTGTAAGTTAAAATTAATTAAATGTGCAGATGGTGTAACTCTGAAAGGTGTTTAAAATGACGATGAGACCAGTTATAGCACTGAGTTTACCACTTCTACATCGGGGTTGAGCTAACACAAAGAAAACTAAAGAAATTATTATTCATCTCTTTCCTCTGGGATTATGAATAAATCAACCGTTTTAAATTGTACAGGAGTGACATGACATGCTAACAACAGCTCAAGATTTGCAAAAAGCTCAACAGTGTCTTCATTTCTTAAGAAAACTGAGTTTAATGTTGACAGCTCTATGCTGAAATTGTTTTCTTACCTTTTGTATTCAAAGGGCCATTGTCGGTACAAAAAAAGAACAAACTGATCAAGGTTGTTTAACTGGGGTAAGAAGATCATTTAGAAACACAGTATTTCTTACTGAACAGTACACACTGAACTGATAAGATTACAGCAGACCCACTGCGCCCCCTTTGGTCAGAGTGAGTACTCTCTACTTCAAGGTTCAGGTGCAGAATACCCAGGATGCAGACTAAAAGAGTCATCGCTTCCTTTGTACACTATTCTGTGCTGTCCTGCAAGTTTGTGGATGTCTTTTTGTGATCTAGGTTTTTATGCAGGTGAATTCCACTAAGAGTGGAGGCGTTATTGCTTCTAACACCTTTCATATCAATGACATTGGGGCTTTTTGTGCCTTTTAATGGAGAGACAGGACAGTAGATATAGCTGGAAATCAGGGAGAAAGAGAGAGAGTAGGGAATGACATGCAGGAAAGGAGCCACAGGTTGGATTTGAGCCTGGGCCACCCGCATGGAGGACTACAGCCTCCATACATGGGGCGCGCGCACTAACCACTGCACCACCACCAGCACCCTGAGCCCTGCAGAATTTGTTAAGCTGTAGCTTCACACAAGCAGCCTATGTGTAGTCCATGTGTTCCTTTGTGTGGCATTACTGGTTATACTCTGCTGGGGAAAAAATATGAAAAACAATGAATGAAGTGACTTTATTTCACTTAATGGAATCTTGATTTTAATTCTTAGAGGGGTCGGGACAAAGTTTTAATGACAGCGCCTGTGCACACTTAACCAGAGGAGCGAGACATAGAGAGAGATAGATCATTTAGATCACTTCAAGCAGCGTGTGTAAACTATTGAAACCATCCTGATTATACTTTTGAGTAATGCTGATTATTTTGGGGGGGCTTTTTATGTTTTGTTACAGAGGATAGGACAGTGGATAGAGAGGAGAGAGAGAGAGTGCCATGTGGCAAAGGAGACACAGGTCAGATAAGAACCCCGGGCTGGACGCTTTGAGGACGGTGAGGACGCTTTGAAGCCTCTGAACATGGCTACCGACGCTCCTAATGCTGATTTTGGAACCACCATGGTACAGGCTTTGCTGACATCATAGACTCCCTCCGTTTCTTCTTGCCTGTAAGTATCTCCTCCTTTGACCATACTCATCAGCACTAAGTTGCACAAACACAAGTCATTCGTGATTCAGATCCCGAGCTCTTGTAGGTATGAAACCCTCATCTCATTTAAATATCCTGATCTTGTATTAACATGAGCGACCCAGTTTTAATTGTTTTCGGTGAATGCAATGCACTTCTATGGAAGCCCATTTCAGCCAGTTAAAAAAAGAAAAAATGAATTTTTTTTTTGCCCATAAAAATTCTAAATTATGAGATAAAAAGTTGATATGTTCATAATTATGACTTTGTGGGCAAAATAAAAAAAAAATCTCAACAAAGCCAGGTTTTCATTTTTATTTTTTTAACTGGCAGAAATGGGATTCCATAGAAGTGCACAAGACACCTCCAACCCCCCAGGATTAAACTTTGCTCTATGGGGGACAGAGGGTTCTCCTCTGCTGCCCCACAGCTATGGAACGCTCTTCCCGCTACCCTGAGGGCCCCACAGACCGTAGGATCTGAAAACCCTCCTCTTTAAGAGCCTTCTCCTAAAACCCCTGCTTTTAGATTTTGTTTTTATGGTTTTATTGAAATTGTAGTACTTTGACATTTTCCTTTAAATGTATTATTAACACTTTGACAAAGTTTCAAATAGGGAATCCATGTGCTGTGTGTTCACACCATACAATCATCAGGATAATAAATCACTTTTACACCTTTATTTGGGCTCCAATACACAAATCTTGGATATGTTCATCGATACAGTCTGCTGAAGATCTCGTTATACACTGAATGGAGGAAGGTTTGGACCGATGCAATAAACCAACATTTTTTAAAACCTGAACTACAGAGTCCTATATACACAATCTTATTTTTAAAAGATCTGTATTTTCTGATAGTTATAACATTAATCATACTGAATAGCGATTGACAAGGTACGATCACAAGGCCTGTTTCTTTTTTCTCCGATAATTTAGCAGGTATATCTTAAACGCACGTTCACAGCAGATGTAACGTGAAGTTCATTTGTAGCTCTAAATGAGTGCACATTGAAATTCAGGTGCGGCCTTGGAAGTCCCAATAAGACAGCAAATAGACAGCAAATGGAGCCGGTCTCACGTTAGTTTTGGATTTTTTTTTTGTGTGTGTTTTTTTTTCTTTTTTTTGGAACCATTGATGCACTCTGGAAAAATAAGCAGACCACATGTCCCGCCATCTTGGCCAAACAAACGGACGAGGTGATAACATCTCCATGGATACGGGTAGATTAAACCCCAAACAGAGGAAGATTCATTCTCATATCAAAAAAGTTTCAAGACCTGAGATTTTTTTTTTTTTTTTTTAAAGTGGAACATGATGTTTTAAACATACGTAAAAAAAAAACAAAAAAACAAGGAAAGGTAATACTTGTAAACTGTCAAGATGGCTGCCAAACACTCGCTATGACTTCCCTTCTGTGACTGAAACATGCAGGTTAAAATCATGTCACCTTGTGTTAAAATCAGGTTTTTTAAAATCTCGTTTTTTCAGCCACATTCTTAAAACTCATCGGGGTTTTTTTTCTGTTGCAAGCTAGTTGTACACAGCTCTACGCATATAATTTGTACATTTTTCCGACAGCTTTACAAGAATCCTCAATGACACGACTGAGGGCGATGACGAAAATCATAACTTAAGACGAATAAAAGTCTTCTTTTTTTTTTTTTAAATTCTATTGGACATGGTGATACCTTATCTAAGACCACGCCGGACTCTGAGGGTTACAAGTTCATTCCTTGGGCACTTAGTAAAGAGTCCAGCATGTCGAAAGTGTCTTTGTAGTCGGTGTGTTGGCCGTTGGGGGCCAGCACGCCATTGGTGACGTCGTGGCCGTGGTGCTCCATCATCCTCGGGCCGCTCTCAGACGCGTAGTGGGAGGAGCCGAGGCCTCCTTTGGAGCTCCTGCCGCTCTTGGACGAGTGGTGGTGGTTGTGGTTTCCTGCATCGGAGTGAGGCCTCTTTCTGGACGAGCCTGTGTCGTTGCCGTGGCTACCGGTAGCCCGTAGGGATAAGGAGGCATTGTCTATTGTCCCTCGGCCGTTCCCGCTGATGGAATAAGCGTGCGAGTGGCCGTGTTTGGAGTGGCGGTGGCCGCCGTGCTCTTTGTGCTTGTCTTTTCCGGTCCCGCCCTGCTCCGAGCCGCCATGACGCTCCGATGACACTTTAATCCTCATCTTTAGCTCCTCGCTAGTCGCCGAGCCGTTCTCGAACGCAGCGGGCAGCCGGCTCTTTTTGGAGCTGGACTTCTCCCGCCGGCCGTCGCCTGATTGGCCGGCCTGCTGCTGGGAGCGTTTCTTGTGGTGGTGCGTTGACACGGTCGGAGGCGGAGCGTACATGTCCGCGCCCGCCTCCTCTTTTACACCGTTCTGCAAAGTCAGCTCCGACGCCAAGTGTTTCTCTCTGTACTTTTCAAGAGTCAAGACTTTCTGTGGTCGCGGAAAAGCCGCGGCGTTTGTCCCGAGCTGCTGCTGGTGTTTACCGCCCGACCCGCCTGCGGCTTTGTGTTCATGTTTTAGCAGCGTGAAGTCTGAGGGGTGAGGCTCGGAAAACTGGTCGTAACCACAGGACTTTGAGTGGTCGCTAAGCGGCTCGTAGGAGTTGTAGGAGGCTGTGATGCTGTTGAGGGAGGGGATGTCTGAAGAGTCCGATCCAGAGGTGGAAGGGAAGAAGGAGTTGGTGACACCAGGGAGGCCGTCAAGGGAAGTCCCCTGGAAGGCGCTATCCACCGATGAGCCGTCCGTCTTTGGCTTCTTAGCAGCTTGAATGGCCTATCAAACACACACACACATCAACGTGAGAAACTGCAGTGCTACATGTACCTGTGAGACCCTCATTAGAGTGTTTATGACGTACCCTCCAGTTCCGTATCCTCTTCAGTCTGCTGGGCGTCTTCTCCAAAATCTGAAGGAACTCGTGTGTGAGCTCTGAAAACAAAACAGTCACTTAGAATAATAATAATAATAATACTAACTTAATTTATATAACACATACATTTAAAGTGCTTCACAAAAATACGCATGATAGAACATTGGTGAGTTATAGAATCATGGATTCAAAATGGATTAAATTAATTAAAGCAGGACATGAATGACTAATCAATCGTTAAAAAGGCCTTCCTATAAAAAATGTGTTTTGAGCAAAGATTTAAAAATAGGAACAAGAGTTTGCCTGTCTGATTTCTTCAGGTAGAGAGTTCCAGAGCTTAGGTGCTCTGATGGCAAATGCCCAGTTGCCCTTGGTAACCAGCCTTGATCTAAGCACAGCTAATAGAGGTGCTCTTGATGATTTAAGATCTCGGCTTGGAGCATAGCGGGTTCAAAGTTCTGTGAAGTTATATAATCTTATAACCTCCTTGTGATGTAGCTTATCCTTTACACTTCATTCTGAAAACATCTGCTGATGCTAACTAGTACACTTGTTATATAATAAAGCTGGATCAAATATGTCTAATTTGTACACATTGATAGTAGAATAAAGACTATTGTGCTTGAATTTAAAGGCAGATACTTCCATTTGCTCCACATCCAATAAAAATAGAACAAAAACCCC